CCGTTTTCTCCTTTAGTTTAGCTTAGATTAAGAAGATATATCAAACGCTCAAGACAGTGTTTGACCACATTTCCAAACACCTCGAGCTTCGTCAAAAATACTCCGCCTTGCGTCGTATTTTCAACTCTGTTCTCGGTGTTTAGAAATGTGGTCAAACACGGTCTTTCGCATTTGATATATTACGTCACAAACTCATTAATAATTCATCAAGTTTAACTAAAAGGAATCAGTTACTTAGTTAAGATTTTACGAGTTTATTTCTCCATTTTCTCTTAAGTTTTTTGTACGATTGAGAAAAAATATCAAACACGACAAGACAGTGTTTGACTACATTTTCAAACACCCCGAAGTTGGTCAAAAATACGCCGCTAAGCGTCGCGTTTTCAACCTTCTTCTCGGTGTTTGGAAATGCGGTAAAACACGGTCTTTTGTGTTTGATATATTACGCTAACTTTGAAGCAAATAAGAAATCAGTTGACTAACATGTGATTCCTGAGTTACACTATAAGCGATAAATTAGGTACAATGGACTCCCGCTCACATCCCTAAATTCCCGTCATCTTTCTACTGTGATCTCAGCCTCGGTAACTCGATCGAGCACTCGATAACGAGAACCTCCCGCTAGTTTCAAGCTATTTTCTATATAATTTTATGCTCGATAACTCGAATACGTTATCCAAACATTGAAACTATTTTCTCGAACAAGAAAATCGCCTGGACTCTGTAACGGTAGCCCGACCTTGCTCTCTTTGAAACCTGGAAAGTTCGCAGCACCTGGACTTCTCTTGCTGCTTTGCTTTGTTTTCTTTCACGTTATGTTATCTTCTGATTTATGCAGTGATTTAGAAATGTATTGTTTCATTTTCTCTCCACTTCTATGTGATTAAATATGATTGAAAAAGCACAATTAAACAAAGAACAGCTTCCAAGTAACGACTTTTTGCTACCAAGCAAAAACGTGTCTTTGTACAGAAATGCAACTTCAAAGCATCTTCTCGTGCGAGAATCTCGTACCGTATCGTCATTTATAAATGTGAGAAGCTTTTCAGAACATAACGCCAAATCAAAGCGATAGCTTACCTCCAGCATCACTCCGTTCATGTCCACCATTGGCAGCACAAATCATCTAAGTAATAAGGCAAAAGATAACAGCAACCTTCATTGTTCTTCGCTTGTGAAAATTTTCTTCCCTTACAAACTCGTGTTCCCCTGTCGGAAACTTGGCAGATGCTTCTGTGTTTAATCATGTCTTTGCGGGAATTTATTGGCGCGCCTGAAACATCTCAGACATATCCACCGTGTTAGATAACGGATTTTTGCTTGTGTTCTATTGATTTGTGGAGTGGTACAAGCCAAAAAGATGGCCCTTTGCGCTGTATATTGGGTGGAACCACGGGGGGACTTCCATTTGAAAAGGTCAGCATGCCAATCTTCTGGCTTTTAAATTAAGGATGTTGGTCTCACTAAAGGTCTCCAGGTCGAAAAGCAAACCAATCAGATTTCCGTGTTTCACCTTGTCACTAAGTGGGACACTCCATTATTTACAACCAAATTTAAAATAATTTGAAGTAAAAACTGACGATAAAAGCGCGTGACGTTTCGACCAAACTTAAGCCATTATCAAGCTTAAAAGTGAAGATAAAATTATGCAGAGTATAAATATATAACAAAGAAGTAAAAGTATGTAAAGTATGAAAATGAAGAAATGTAAGAAAAGGTTGTTAAAGACAATAAAAAACACGCAAGAATAACATCATTAAAAGTGATTAAAGACTTTCGCACGAATTGAGTCTGACTGTACATTGAGACAGTCAAACTTGTTCTTGCACTTTTTTAAGATGTTAAAATTCTTGTTACATGTAAGATCCTTGGGCACATAAGAATGTTTCACACGAAAATGTTTTACAATGGAGGAGGACGCATTAATTTCTTGTGCTCGTGTACGCGTTGATGCAAACGCAGCCGCGTATAATCAACATAACCTGCATCACACAGGTCACATTTAAATTGGTAAACAAGGGATTGTTGGTTGACAACAGACGGTTTGACTTCGTGCAGTTTCAGATGTTGTTTAATCTTGTGACTAACAGACGTGGACGCGCTGGACGGTCACTTGATCATGAATTTTCGGGCTCAGATCTTTAAGTTGGGTTCGTACAATATCGGCTGAAGCCTGGTCTTTGGATAGCAGAACAACGTGAACAGATTCTAATTCATTGTGAACAGCTGGTAACTCGGGAACAGGTTGATCAGAAATATATAATATTGGCCGGCTGGGAGGTCCGTATAGAGAAAAGCGAATTAATCGGGTATCAAATGCAATCGTTGATGCAAAATAACTGTGCAGTGTTAATCACAAAGCATCAATCTCTCAAAACGTGTCAGTATTTTCTTTCATTTCTACTGGTTATCTTTTTATAGATCTGTCAAGTTCCACTATCGAAAACTTCGCGTAACGTGTTGCGTTAGAGACCGCCACGAGGGAAGTATTTGAAATAAAAGAATTCGCCGACAAGTTTTTGTTCCGTATCTATCTGTAAATGTTCTGGCCAAATTTCAAGGAAAACCGTCGATTCTACATACCCTATTAATTTAATTAAAGAGGAGGGATTCTCTCGAAAAACGAGCGTAAGTTTCCGCCTTCTAAAGATTTATAACCATGTCACGCCTTCCAGAGGGATATGTCAACTCAAAATGAAGAGAGCCAATGAAATAATAGAACCCCTAGCGTTCACAGTAAGGAAAGTTGAGCTTCGAGGTAAAGCGATAGTGTTACAGTCACGTTTTAGGCGCATACGTTTTAGGCCGGTGGTCAACAACAAAGGGCAAAACGGAGAAAAGCGATGTGCAACAAAACAAAAAGAAACTGAGGAGCAATTGCTGAAGCGTGATTACAAAAATGCACTCTTGACGGACATGAAATCTCAAATTGAAAGTATTTGATATAGGATCTCTGGATTAAGCTGTTTTCCGCGAAACGGTCGCCGAGGAGTTCATGCTCTTTGGGGATTATGACACCTTGACGGTTTACTAACTTTTATTAAAAAAACCTCTTTTTCCCAATAACTTGCGCGCGTTTTAATATTTTATATTCATTTTTTGGAAAATGTTACCTTGAACAATGAACTTTAATTTGGTTGGAAAAAAGAAAATTTGGAAAAAGCAGCCCCGCGAAGGTTTGGAGTAACCTTAAGTGAAATTTTAGGAAGGTTAGAGAGGGATTAAAAGGAAAAAACAAGTTCTGGAACACCACCAAACAGTCGAACGCCCCCGAAAGGGCACCACAGGTTGGTGGAGAACTGTTTGGTGTACGTCTACCAAATTTTAACTTCAAATTGTAATTTTAAAACAACATCAAATCTTCATAAATTCTACTAGTCCTTTGCGAAAAACTATTTATCCCCAAATATATCCAAAAATCACCAAAAAATTTAAAACACAACCCAAAACGTCAACCTCGTCCCCAGTCCCAGGGCCTTCTCCACTTTTCAAAATGGTTGGAAGGGATATATACCCTGAGCAATGCTGAACTAACACCCTTGCTGATTAGCCCATTCATACGAACAGGCTGATTGGTTTACAATCATCCTGAAAAAATATGGCGGACTGCCGCTCGGCGGCAGGTATATTTTGCAGGTTGCAGGTTGTAGGTTGCAGATTGAAATTTAATTCAATGATAACTGAAAAACCGCTGGCACTAAAAATACTTAATAACCTATATACTCGTCAGGGGTCCTTAAATAAATTAGTTCGCCTCTTTCACATAGTGAAAACATGATCGATCTGCGAAAAGTACTTATCGATCGACACGCTGAGACCAGTGAAATCTCTTTAAAGCCATCTGGATGACCGTTCCACAGATGTTTACATCGATTCCAGGTTTGGCTCGGGTCTTCCCTCAACAACAGAAGATTGCCATCACAAATGAAGCAAATAAATAAATAAATGAAATAAGATTTTAACCGAAGGAATACAGTGACTAGCACAAGCTCAGTGTGCTTTCATGTTGGTACTCACAGGGAAGAAACCAAATTCAGCAGATATCTCAGATGATATTTCAGATGTTTCAATAATTCATTGCAGGCTAAAAATCATAGGAATATACTCTTCTCCCATCGCTTCGGCCGGTTTGGCACTTAAGTGGAAGCCACCTTTCTGAGCGATTGTAAACCGGGCCATGTAACAGTCACGATTGTAAACAGCGTCATGCTACAGTCACGGTAAGTCTACCACCTGTACGTTTCTTTTAAGTGCCAGCGGTCTTCCAGTTATAATTAAATTTAAACCTGCAGCCAGCTGCAACCTGCAACCTGCAAAATATACCTGCCGGTTGGCGAGTGTTTACACTAATAAGAAAGGGCTATAGGGGGTCGTATTGCAGTTCACTGTTCAGTTCATGCGATGTTGAATCAGGCTGCCGTTAACGATTTGAAAGGTAAATCTTTTCCGTCAGATTTAACTTACAAGATGCAACCGATACCATAGAAGTAGAAATAAGCTCTGGAAAATGAAAATAACGAGCATTTTAAAAGCTTTTATTGAAGTACGGATCGGCCGTCAGCTAGCGAGCTGCCGCTCGTCGCAAGTGGCCTTAAGTGCTGCTTTTTCTGTTCTTTATTTATGCGCTATTAGATTTTCTGATAACCGAAACGAAGTAGTAATATTGTTTTTCCGGCCGAGGCTGAATATTTTTTATTTTCTGCCAGTTTTAAATTAACAATATCCCTGTGAATATTCTTAGATTATAGCGTACGACATTTCTGCTGTCAAATGTATTTGGTGTCTGGATGGTGTTAATTTTAGAGTGATCCTACAGGGATTAAAGACTTATCGATACAATGCATATAACTTCTTGCATAAATGTTGTTAGCATCAAACATCCAGTTAATGCTGTTTTTGTTGCTTTTTGACTAGCTTTGCTGTTTAATTTAATATGGTTTAGGTTAACGTTAGAAACATAACTGTATTGTAATTACGAATTTTTAACACACAAAATTATGTTCTTTTCAAAAGCTGAGCCTCAGCCTCAGGTTTATTCTTTAAGTATTCTTAAAATTTTGCAAATTTCAACCTCACTGTTCTTAAAGGTGAAGGAGATCAGTTATATCTATTATGTGTTCAGTAAGAACTAATTTACAAATAAATGCAGAGGAAGGGATTTGAATTCATTGCTTTTTTCCTGTCTGGCCCCTCTCCGGGGTCTCCTAAGCTGCCCATTAGAGAAGTGAGATCTGAGGATGATATAAGTACCTCTGGATGGATGTTAATTAAAGTGCTTTGGCTAAATTGCCTTTTACTACCATCTTGGCATTGGAAAGGGCCAATAAAAAGTGTTATGAAAAAAGGTTTATGTGTGTTAACAAATTTACAAGAGAATCTTACTTACCACAGAAAGACAATAGCAATAGATATCTAGATATGTACTGCTTGTGCTACTCTACAAAAATTTATCTCTTTTCCTTAAATACATATACTATTTGTTTCCACAAAATTCTTTGTGTACAGAATTATAGCCGGATGGTGATTTTTCTTTGCAATTAATTCATGAGTTTGTCACTTATTTGATTTTTCTACCAGTCAGGGAAGCCATGAATCTTGCCGATGTCAACAGTAAATAAACGGAATAACCTTGAGAAAAAAGTTGTGAAACCGGTATTGCCTGATGTTGTTTTTCTACTCATTACTTTGACTTCTATTTCAAGATCATAACAAACATGACAACAATTCAACACATTTTCAAACACTGAGAAGAGAGTCCATATTATAGCACAGCATAGCCCTGTATTTTTGATGCAGTTTATGGTGTTTGGTACTTGATGAAACACTCTTTCAAGTGTTTGATATATATTAGCTGATTTTATACTAGAGGACGCATTATTCATCCAGACGGCTAATGCATAACAACAAACTGCAGCGTAAATATCTGCCAGCAAAGACGATACAGTTCGTAGTGACAGAAGCACCTTACTAAGTAAGTGTGGCAGTCATCCAAGCGATTGAAATTTACAGGATTTACTTGTCTACTCAGTTTCACCAACATGGGCTTCGCTCACCAGCTGCTCGCTCCTGTGGCAATAGAAATCAAGCCTATAAACCATGTTGAACATATCCATTTTGTGCTATTAATTTTCCGTCCCCGGCTCGAGAGGCTAAATGCAAACAAACGAAAATTGACTATTATGATGGGAATTATGGAACCGGTCTAGAAAAAGATTATTCCCTAACTCCTCCTCCACCCCTCCCTGGAATTTCCTGGGCCTTTGACCCCCCCCCCCCCCCCCCCCCCNGGATATTTTCTGGAACCACACATTGTAAACATATGTGCTATATATTTAACATTCTACATCCAGACAACTGTTATCAGTGTGTTATAGCTATGATTTCCTCTGTTTTAAACAAATTCATGAATTATTGGGTTTGGAAGGGGATCATAGATATTTCAAGGCTGCCAACATTCAGGGATGAATTTGTGAGAACCTCAGAAGCAAGCATCCTTTTGTATCATAAGGCAATCATTGGACGTGAATTGGTTGCTGCAAAAAAAAAGCAATTCTAAGAGTCTTAAATATCACTAATCAGTAAAGGATAATTGATATGATATTTTCCCAACATGACTAGAACACAATATTCTTTTTCATTACACAAAATTACTAGAATGGTAATCTCAGTCTTTATCTTCCCATAAAAATTATTGAAAAGTAACAAAAGAAATACTCAGTCAAGGTCAAGCACAGATTCCGATAGGGCCTGTTAGTTTATAAAAAGTCAAGTCTATTGTTTACTAAATGCTAATGGATCTCTGAGACCTTTTCCTAAGGTAAAGGTAATATCATTTCCACAGTTCTGTTATTTTCATCCATAACAAGGGAGAGGCTGCTCTTCTCGATCCTGGCTGGAGAAACACAAACACAGAGACTACTGCATGGGGTAACAAATTTTGTTTATTTTAGAATGTTTCTTCTGGTAGTTGGCGCTAATAGCTTCATTCTGAAAATGTACACCCAATGCAAATCCAAAACAGTTCTTAGAGCTGATCACTTTTATTGCATAAAGGTGAAATTAACTCAGCAGAAATGAAAAGCAAAATGATGTGTTGTGACGTGTCAATATAAAGTTGGAACAATCGCGTACTTTCATGTGCTTCTAAGGTACATACACTACGTCTTTTGATTCTATGCCAGTGAACAATAATTAACAATTTTTAATAATTTCTTGAGATCAACTCATTCTCGATTACAGGCAGTCAGCCACTGATATGCATATACTTCATTTGGAAAGGAAAACCATACAACACATAGTTCAGGCAAAAATATTTACCAGAGTAGGTTTGATTTCAGGTTAACTTTACTCAAAAAAGAGTTAATTAATCAACAGGATTGAAAACATTACGCAACAAAAATGGCCACTCAGATAGACACAAGTTAAGTCAATGGCTTAAATGCAATTGTAGAAAATTAAAGTCAATGCAGCTAGGTCGCTCGTGTTTAAGTAAAAAAAAAAAAAAATGCACTCATTACTCATTTTGAGTCCCTCCTATCTTTTAAGTTCAATCGGAATTGAGAGTTACATAAAAAATAAAAGCACTGTAGGAAAAATAACTATAAACTTCGTTATTTCAAATAGTTACAGTCTTTCATGTAAAGTACAAACCGTAGCGCTCCAGATTCTTTAACAAAGCGACCTGCTTCCAAAAACCCGGCGAAAATAATGTGTCATGTTCCCAGGAAGCCATCACTGCCTCGTGCATAACGATTCCGCGTTCTAATGTAAAGGCTGCCATTTTCTTCTGGTCTTCTCAAAATGTCACGTGATAAAAATCTCCAAGATTTTTGGAGCCTTTGTACCACGTGACCCAGCCTTTGACAGGGTCTTCTCCCGACGAGCCGCTATTTTGAAAATCGTCGAGGAGAAGGTCCTGGGGACGAGGTTGCCCAAAACGTAGATATGTGAGATGAGCTAAGAGATTTTTGACTACTTGAGACGTGAACCGAGATATTTGCGTTGAAACCATAATACCCAGCCAAAATACGGCCTTCATGTTAACGCCCGCCTTAAGCCTGGTCTGAATACGTATAAGGGCTGAATATTATAACATTGCTCAGCTGTAAAAGGAAAGGAGCTAATATGACGTTCAAAAGCCAAATGAAAGCAAAATGTACGCTAACGTCTTTTATTTTGCATTTCAAAGATCGAGTTAGCAAAGGTTTCCTGCTAAGGTAACTACATTACCATTGCCTTGACCAAGGCTTTCAACCCCTCAAATGTCTCCTCCCCCGTGGGGATGATTTGATCGGGTGGCAGTAAGAAACCGTAACGACCCGTGTCACGCAACTCCACCGAGAATGAATATTTCACACCAAGCTCGCCGTATGTCCAGTCCTCTGATCCTCCAGCTGCAGGATCTGGTGGAGAGAAGCATGGTATTGAAATGAGCGCCATAATGTTGCCACACAACAAATTGAATGACTTAACATTAACCAAGCTATTATTTGAGAGCGTTTCCGTTAATGAAGCGGTATTCCCTGTTACATGAAAAGTAGCAGATTTTAAGCTTATAGAATCATAAGTAGAAAAAAAGTTGGGGAAAGTGTCATCTCAAGTATGGAAAGATCATTTCTAACGGACAAACCCAACTCAATTTAAGCACTGTGTCTCTACATGTGAAAGGAATACTATTTTTAATGAAATGAATAAATACATATAAAAGGGTACCGCTTCTAGTCAAAAATGTTATACAAAATTTTAAAATTTTGAACCACTGGGTGCAGCCTCTACGTACAAAACTTCGTTATGTAAATCTCCCTCCTCCTAAATGTTAGTAACTCAGGATAGAGAAACATTAGGAAGCTTCTTTGAAGCTTTTCATTCTCGACCCCAGAGCTCTTCTCTTTTGAGTATGACTGACGGCAGCCTGTCAAGAAAGCGAACGATCTGGGGTCGAAAATGTGAAGCTTTTGTGCTGCTTGGCATTGGCAAACTATGGAAGCCACAAACAAAAAAAAAAAAAAAAAAANTTTTCCACCCATTAAGTGCTATTTTCTGAGACAATATATAAAAAAAACTCTACTCCTTTTATATCAATTTATTACTTTTTACTGCATACTTGTAATAAACAAAAAAAAAAAAAGAAAAATACGTGAAGTAAATGGAGAAATCTTAATTCTTACAAAGAAGAGCTGCCGACGATCCATACTGGAATTTTGTTCCATGTTTCCTCTCGACAGCCATTGCGGCCTCCTTAGCTACTCTCATCTAGTAGTAAGAACGAGAAAAAGTTATCATTTACTATCAATCAATTGCAATTTGACTTACTGAGTTTCAATTCTAGTTTGAAACCCAATACAGCTGTCATAAACACGGAAGACTCAGTGATCAGTCGATCCTTCAGCTGTCGCGCTGTTACGATCGACCTGTCAGTTAGCCAGCCAGTCGCAAGTTCGCTGGCTGGTCGGTCGATCAGCGGGTGGGTGGGTCAGATAGGCAGTGAGTCAGTTAGTCAATCAGTCAATCAGTCAGTCAGTCAGTCAGTCAGTCAATCAGTCAGTCAATCAGTCAATCAGTCAGTCAGTGAGTCAGTCACGCCGCCGCTCGAGCAGTCAGTACTCATGCAGTCTGGCGAACAGTGAGAAAGTCAACAAGCCTGGCAGTGAGATATATAGTCGTATAAGCATACAGACTTACAGAAGCTCACACAGTCGATCAAATGTGATAAAACAATAACAGGAATCAACTAGTGAAGGTGAATTAATCAACATGACACGAGCGTGGGACAAAGAAAAATTCTGAGTCCATGACCTCCCGAACACCGGCGGGCGCTCTATCCACTGAGCTACGAGAACTCATGGAGAGCAAGGTCATTTAACTGAGTTCATATATGATAGGTGTCCTGCATACTGC